TCAGATGCTGCACCTATCCATGCCCGGGTCTTTAACTGTACAGGCCCTGGAACTGTGAACAACTAATTTCTGTTTTTTTCCACCGCCCAATTTGTGTATTTTGTTATGGGACTAGGACAGAAGTACCTCAGTATGTCTGTAAGAATCACTTCTTTATTCTTTCCTTCTTGGTGTTGATTTTATCCTTCTGCTGATAGCAAGGAGACTGCACAATTCCAGATGTTAAATAATAGAAGTTTTCTTAGGACTTGATTTTTGGACCAAAGAGCTCTGTCCCCCTCCCCCCAACTCCCCCTGCACAGCTTCTCAGCAGATTCTTTGTCTTTCTGGCCAGTGCCAGGTCACATGTGGCTCCTTACCATGTTTGGATCCCCAGTACTGAAATGAGGGTGGTTGAGAGTAAGAAATGTGGGTACCCAGATAAGACAAGGTTTATTAAGAAGAGCATCCCCAAAATGTGATGTTAGAATTTGAGATCTTCAAATTGCTACATAAAACATAAAGGTTGTCCATATTAATGGGGTGCTGCGCAATGTTTCAATACACATAACCATTGTGTAATGTTTAAATCAGAATAAACATATCTGTCTCTGCTGGTGGAAAAAATGCAAAACTCAGCAAGGTCCAGGAAGTGGACCTGGTGGGGCACAGGTGACTGAAGTGATGTGCAGATAAAGAACTGGAATTAGAAATATCTGCAGGTTACAAGCCTTGGCTTCTGGATGGGTTGTCCATGTGGATATTGAATGCACCCAGAATTATGGCAAGAGATGGAGGTGTAGCAAGAATCAGGGGCCATGGAGAAATTGTAGGTGACAGTGACAACAGTTAAGGAGGGTGAGGAGCCCTTTTTCTTCTCCCCAAACTGGGTTGATTATGAGCGCCTTCCTTGTGTGCAGGTCTTATCCCACTGCCCAGGTGCAGGTGGGTACTCACTGCTCACTTGTCCTGGGGCTCCAATCTCCACTGTTCTCCTTGCTTCCTGGATTCCCTTTACTTTTGTGTTTTTCTTCTTGGCTGCACACTTGTATCCCCTGGGGAGATTCTACTTTCTTGATGTCCAGGTCACACTGTCCAGGTACCATCAAAAAATAATCCAGAGTGGGAGGTTCAGGCCTAGCAGCTGCTCTGATAATTATTCACTTCTGTGCAGCCTGGTTTACCAACTGCTCTGCCTACCCCATCCCTGCCTTCACATCTTAAGAGGTAGCTGCAGCAGGTAGCTCCCTTTCATTGAAGAAACCTCTGTTGAGCCCTCCTCCCTCCATATACTGGGAATACAAAGGTGAGAAGCACATGCATGCCCACCCACCAAGACACTCAGCTAGGGGACGATAGGTGCTGGGGCAGAGGTCTTCAGGGACTCCGAGCATCCAGGAGTTGATCTTTACCCTGCACTGGGGGAAAGGAAGTCAAGGCTTTGCTCATCTTCATCTCCATTAGACCCCACAGCCAGCCAAGCCCACTTCGTGTATCCAGCCTGGGTTTGGAGCTGTTTTTCCTCAGTCACCACCAACTCTAAAATCTGTCAAAGCTCCATGAAGAGGGAGCAAGCCCTTTGTGTGATGGCTCCTGTACCCCTATCTAGCCTCAGTTCTTGCCACATGTCCTGCAGTGGACTGTACAGTCCAGCCTTCAATATGACTTAAAGTTCTCTGAAAGTGTCTCACCCCTCACACCCTTGGGCCTTTGCACATTCTGCTCTCTTGCCCTAGAAGATGCTTCCAGGACAATTTGGAGGAGAGCACCTGAGTGGAGGAAATAGTATGATGAACAGATACCTGGGACAGGACAATGGCTGTGCATGGAAAACCCTGTCGCCCAAGGATGGACAGTCACTGTATCTTGGACTGCAAGTGCCCTTTAGCATCAGTTTCTCCCAGAGAGCTTGTTAAACCACAAACTCCTGGTCCCAAAATGCTGTGCTGCCAGGGGCCTGAGATGGGGCTCAAGAATTGACCTATCAGACTTCCAGGTAGACCACTTGTGGAACAGTGTGAAGGCAGTAAGAGATGTGGCTAGAAAGGGGGGACTTTGGCAGAAAACAAAGATATCATCAGTATAGCACAGCAGGAATGTGACTTTTGCTTCTTTCCTTACTATGCACTTACTATGTTTCTGACTCCAGAAATACCAAAAAGAAAATGACATAGTTTCCAATCTCAAAGTTTTTCACCCCAGTGAAAGGAGGAAAGTAAGTCAAAGCATAGCTTTCTGCCTTTAGGTAAAATGGTGAATATTTATTATGGTTGGTTAGTATCCTCTTCAGATTTGAGCAATCAAGGAGACAGAACCACATTTGGGTTCTGCTCTTCTTGCTTTCTAACTGCAGATCTTATGTCCCATGAGTATGTTCTTTAGTTCCTTGGCCAGTAAAATTAGGGTGGTAACATATTATGCATCCAAAGGGTTGTTTTGCATATTGAACAGTTTCTGGTCCATAGCAAGGGCACAACCAACAATTGAAGTTACAATTATGATCATGCAAAGAACTCAGCCTCCAGGTTTGGGGGTATCTTTCTAGGAAATAATTCCTGACAGATGGGATTCATTGATGAGGATGGTTGCAGTGTCTTCTGTTCAGAATACTTAGGAAATAAAAGGCTAAAGAATAGTTAGGTCTCTGGCTAGTATGAGCTAGTGGCAGTAGGCCTGGATGATCTAAAAATATCAGTTAACAGGGACATCCATGCACCACTCATTTAATCCTCACAACAGACTAGTATGAGTTTTTAATTACTCTCCTGATTTTACAGGTAAGGAAACAAGTTAGATGAGTCTATTCCCACTCCTGGGGCAAAATACATAGTAAGACCAAGCTTTGGAGTCAGTCAGATGTGGCCATGAGTTCCGTGGCAGCCAATTACTGGTGTGTCCTTGAACACATGTGACATCTCCACATCTTCACAAGTGCAGTACCTGAGCAGTGCACAGCATGCAGAACACATACAGCAAGGGACCTACTCATAGCTGCTTGTGGCAATATGCAACAGAATCAGGGCCACTTTGAATGGATTGGGCTGGCAATGAAAAAAAACACACAAACACAGAAAGTACCTTTTTTTGGGTTCAGGATGGCTCTGCACTCTTGAGAATTAAGCTCCCATGCTGGAGGTCAAGGATAGCAAGGGAGGCAAGAGGCAAGAGGCAGGCAAGAGAGCGAGTACACCTGAAAACACCCTATTTATTGGGGAGAAGCCATTCATACTATATTCCACCCATATAAGGCAAGAGATTGGATTTCGGAGGATGGAATCTTGCTTGATGATGTCTTGTGGTCAGCAGTTTGATGACATCTTGAAGAGTCACACCCATCTCAGGTGTTGTGTGGGATCATAGGCAGTGAGAGAGAAAGGGCACACATACCTCGCCCAGCCCAATCACTCAGAAATGTCAGCCTAGTTCCATCATATACTCAAATGTGCATAGCTCACACACACAGCCCATGGCTGGACAGCGACAGTTGCCAATCACTGTGGCATGGTGTGAAGGGTGAATCCTGCAAATCTGAGTTCTTCCCTAGTTTATCCCCAAGCTTACAATCGCGGAAGAATTGTGAAACCTTCTTGAACCCATTTGCTCATTTGTAAAATGGGTAGAATAATATCAACTGAAGGGAACTGTAGTATAAAGCTACAGATGTTAAGGTCACAGTAGATGGTGGAGCCAGGGTCCTAACATGGGTCTTTATGCTGTCCACTGTCTGCTTTTTCCACTTCCCTGACTCACACAAAAATATTCCTCCTGGCCACAACCTGCCCCTGCTCCAGGGGTTGAGAGTCAGTAATGACCTTGACAATGGGCCTTCCCTACACATCTACCCTGGAGAGGGTTTCCCTCTTCTTCAAACCAGCATCTTACAACTTTGAACTTGGACTTCTGTTGACAGTTTTCCCTTGGGGAAAAAAGGAAACAGACTCTCCTTTTCCTTAGAAGATTTACCCCAGAACACTTATAATTGTAAATTTACATCTTATTGAGATGTAGGTACATGTTTTTTAAGAGCTAAAAAGGCCTGTTTGTGTATTTACAACCTGGAGCACTTTTTTTTTTTCTGGAGGGATTTGGGAATCATCTTCTAGAAATACTATCTTTGAGGAGGAAGTATCCCTATTGTCCAAGGAGGGCTGGGGTCCAATTTTCAGGGAGCACCAGGCTTCAAGTTGCAAACCTATCTCCTGTCCTAAATATATACATTTATTTCTGTTTTGGATGAAGGAAATTGGTAAACACAAGTGCCACATTAATTACCAGGGGACTTTAGGATGAACACTGTGACAGATGCTGTTAAGTCCTCTTCCTCCAGGACCATTCATGCAAATATACATGAGTTTGTTGGGGCAGGCCCCCTAATGGCTGTAGTTATGCTCCCCAGCTGCCTGCAGGCTGTGTTGTTTTTAGTGTGTAGCCAAGGCTGAGAACCAGCTACGTTATGGTTAATCAAGGCCAGAAACACTGTGACTCAGCACTGAGTCAAGGTCATAAACATTAACTTATGAAAATGTAGCTAGGGGCGGGGAGATGGGGGTTTGGCTAAAGACTATGGCCAGCTCCAAAGAAAGGATGACCAGTATTCCCACAGAGCCGCGCATCTTCTTTCAATTGCCCAGTCAGACCCTGGGTTCAGAACCTTCCCAGGGGTTTGAAAAACGATGGGCTTTCTGTCTTTGCAGTCTCCTCCCGGGGTTGCCTGTAATGCGCATCGCCTTCGGATTTCAAGCTTACTCAATACCCAGCTGTCCTGGAGAGTATCTTGCGGGGTTGGCAGGTTTTGTTTTCCACTGTAATCCGCCCCCCCACCCACCCCCGCCATATAAACAAGGGCTTTTGGATAGGGCTTTGGGAGAATTCGGACAACCTGCAGGAGCCTGGCCCTGGCATTTGCAGAGTGCGAGTACCGCCCTCAGCCTCGCGCATCCCTATTTTTAGCAGCAGAGACCTGGCGGTCACGTGACTGGAGCGTTTCCTAGCACCGCCGCGTTCCCGCCCCCGGCGCGCTGGGCGTGCAGCATCGCTGAGTGCGGAGTAGCAGGGCCAGCGGCTATGAAGGTCTGGAGCTCCGAGCACGTGTTCGGGTGAGGCGGGGCTGCGGGCCGAGGAGGGGTCTGCAGCGACCCCGGCTCCCGCCCTGGGCATCCCGCTAAGGACAGGCGCCCTCCTCTCCCCGGCGTAGCTGGGCGGAGTCCGGCGGAGCCTGGCCTGCGGCAGCTGGGCTGGGCGCTGCGCGGGGCTGCGGGCAGGGGCGGCAATCCTGGGGCGAGAGCCCGGCCACCGGGCGCAGGCCTCACCCGGTGCGTGCAGGCCTGATGGCAGCGCCGTGGCTCCCCGTGCGGGAAGGCCGGATGGCAGCGCCCTCTCTCTCCGGTGCGGGAAGGCGGACGCAGCGCCCTAGCTCTCCGGTGCTGCGGGGGCGAGGTCCCAGGCAATGATTCTGCAGAGCCAGCTCGGGCTTTGCCGAGATTGTGTAGAGCAGGCATCTTCAACATACAGCACCTCTTAGGCGGGGCCCAGGGGCCTCGGGCCCCTGAGGAAGCTGGGCCGGAGGAAGGCACCTGGGGACCACAGCCGTGAGCTTACTTGTAGGCAGGGAAGCCTCTGGCAGTCTAGGAGCTACTGGAAAGTGCCCTCCTGACCTGAGTGGTGGCCTTCTTCAGATCTTCTTCACTGATCTGAAGGCATTTTGTAATGTCTTTTAAAGGAACAAGATTTTTAAATTCCCCGACCCCACTTAGAGAAGCCTTTTGTTTTTGTGTGAGAGATTATTGCTTGAAATTGAGTTGTCATTCTTTGTCCTTTGTACATGTAAAGTCATACTAAATATTTACCAAGTACCTTGAAAACCTCTGAAAGTTTTTTTAAATTAAATCTTTAGATTTGATAGGATATATTATTTTGCACAGCTTGCTGCATTTCTCCGACTGTTCTCCCAGGGGTGTGCGTGAGTCATTCTCCTCTGGATGCAGAGGGAGAGGTTGAATTCGGTACATAGTGGGGTGATGGGGATCAGTTGCCTTGTGGGCCTGTTAAGAAGGACCACCCTAGTGGGTCTTGAAATGTTGGCTGCCCAGCGTCAGCTGTGAAAAGTCACTGTTGAAATTTTTGACAATTTTTGCAGTTGCCAGTCATTTAAATTTTTTTTTTTTCCCCGAACTGGGAATTGAAGCCAGCAATGTTCTACCACTGAGCCACACCCCCAGCACTTTAAATTTTTTATCTTGAGACAGGGTCTCACTAAGTTGCTTAGGCTGGCTGAACTTGTGGTCTTCCCGCCACAGCCTGCCAAATCAGGATTGTAGGTGTGAGCCACAATGCCTGGGCCCACTTAACTTTTAAGCTTTATTAAATATAATTTACATATCATTCGACTCCTATCTGTAATATAAGTCACCTGTTTTAAATAGTACAATTTCAGTTCCTTTCTTTTGTTTGTTTGTTTGATGTTGGGGATTGAACACAAGGCCTTGTGTATGGGAGGCAAGCACTTTACCAGCTGAGCTATATCCCCAGCCCTCCATAATTTCAGTATTTACAGAAAATTTAAATTTTTAGTAAGTTGTACAACCATCGCCATCATCCTGCAGACCCAGTCATCTCTCCTCACTGCTCTCCCCAAAGGCAGAAGAGATGATGGGTTTGGTGGAATCCTTGCTCTGGTGTGTGTGCCAAAGTCCAGTTGACTACATGTATGTACACGTATGCACATGGACATAGAACATACACATTCATTTTTTGGAAATAGATATCAATGGCATCACCTTGGACAGATCATTTGGCATTTTTTCTTCTCAACAGTAGGTTTTTAAGATCTGTCCATATTGATATCTATGTGATCTGATATCGGTATCAATAGATACCTATATCAATATGGATAGATACATACCTATCTAAGTACACATATAGGTGTGTGTGTGTGTGTGTGTATGTATATAGGTGTATAAATGTATGTATGGATTGATTATAATAGCTGTATAATATTCCATTATATGAATATGCCATATTTGTCCTTTGTCTTCTTGAAGGGACATTAAACAAATTTTCCCCTTACAAAGCTTATTGCAGTAGTCAGCCCTATGTCAAGGGCCCATTTAAGCCACTAGATCTCAGCTGTTCAACCCTAGGACCACTTTACAATTTTGGAGACCCCTAATAGTTTTGTTTATATGAATTATGTCTATTGACATCAACCATATTAAAAAATAATTTAAAAATATTAATTCATATAATGAACAATAACAGACTTATTGCACTAACATAACATTTAAAAAAAACTACATTTTTCAAAAACTGGCAGGAAGAGTGGCATTTTTAACACAATATTTGCAAGTCTGGATTAGCAGAAGGTAGCTTGATTCTCCACCTGCTTCTGTGTTTCGTGTTGTGCGGTTTTGTTTTGGTTGGAGTGTGTGGATGAATGCCAGCCTTACACAGGTATGTAGTTGGTAATTTGTGGCTTTTCCTTGCTGCTATGGCAGAACAAATGGTGACTTATTAAAAATTGTTACAAAATAAAATCTGAAACAAAACCATAGTGAGCAGAGGAAACAGCTCCATTCCATTCCAACCTCAGGACTGCCTGTGAGTGGGCCTTTCACCTGGGTGTGATTCAGTGACATTTGCACTGGTTGTTGGAACGCAGTGTTCACCTGTGTTGCAGAATGCTGCAGTCAACGTGCTCAAGGCAAGTTTCCCAGAATCCAGTTTTTGTCAAATTCTGTCTTTGACAACAAATACTACCACTGTTTGTCTTGAAAGAACAGGCTCAGTTTATTAATTTTCTAGAACAGTCTGCCAGATCCCAAGTTGGAATAAGCAGTACCCTTTTCTTCAGTTCTACTTATGTCTGTGTTAACTTCTGGGCTCATCATGTTGTAATTAATGGAATTATGTGCATAATTAATGGAATTATGTGTGCAGTTTATCCAGATACAGGCTTGGGTGGTGATTTGGTCTCCAGGGAGCTTGGTCTGCTGCAGAAGGACTCTGGTGCACTTCCTGTTGCCTCACACAGAACAGCACAGAGGGGTGTACATAGGGATTAAGTGGCAGTAGATTTAGTCGTTCTATCATTTCACCACAGATGTCCCTAAGAGGAGCTGACATTGTTTCTCTGAGTGTGCAGTGTTGAGCAACACAGTGGCTGGGCTGTGCTTTGGAGTCCTGCCTTGACCACTGGTGATAGTCTGGCACTTTCCCTCCATTGCTTTTGGAACATCAGTTTAAACGTCAGTATGGTGAAGGCTAGTAATGTCTCAGCAGTGCTGTGATAGTCATTTCCTAAAAGGGTTCTGGAGCCCAGGCTGTGGCCTGTCCTAAGAGCCTTTGGGCAGTAGGATGTAACTGACCTTTTTGTATTATTTGTGGCTACCTACTTTTTAAAAAAAAAGTTTTATTATGGAAATTTCAGAAATATATAAAATTAAACTAGAGTGCTGAGTACTTATGCCATCTCCTAGATTGTCCTCTGGAAGCCCCTCGGGTTTCACCTGTGTCCCCACTCTCTGCCCCTACCCCTGGGTGATTTTTGGCAAATTCTAGAGTGATGGAATTTTTTCTTCATGTAACACCCCAGCTGTGTCTAGAGAGAGCAGCCCCAGTGTGGAAGCCAGGATTGTCCTTACACCTTCCCTGGATTAGCCACCCTGGCACAGATGATGCCTGGTGTCTTTCTCATCCTGGGGGGCATGTGAAAGTACAACTGCATGGGGGACCCATCCCTAGGTGGGAGGCAGCAGAGTCCTCCCTCCCTTTGGGGACAGGGTTTGCATTCCCACCATTGTCTAGTGTATAGCTGGAACTGCTCCTTCTAAAAGTAAACTTCATCAAATTCCTCATCTTCCTAGACCTGGAGGTGGGAGTGTGTTGGCATGCCTGTCACCAGCCTTTCCAGATGAGTCACTTCTGTGACTGCTGTGCCCACCAGCACTCTGTGTCTATCATGCTCTTTCCATCCCTTGCTCATGCTAGACTGGAGCTTTGCCAGTTGAATGGGTATCAGACTGTTGACCCAACAGGAGTGCTACTGACTTGCTGCTTAGATCTTATAAAGATGTTATGGTTATTGTACCCTTTTCTTCAGTTTTACTTATGTCTATGGTAACTTCTTGGCTCATCATGCTGTAATTAATGGAATTATGTGCATATTTTAAGCAGGTTATATTATGTTTAAATCATCAACCAAAAAGATGCAAAAGTTTTATATAAAAGAACCATCTGTGATAAGTAATGCAAATTTGGGCTGGGGTTGTGGCTCAGAGGGAGAGTGCTTGCCTTGCATGCATGAGGCACTGGGTTCGATCCTCAGCACCACATAAAAATAAAGCAAAGATATTGTGTCCACCTATAACTAAAAAAAATTTTAAAAAATAAGTAATGCAAATTATCTCTTTGCATTTAGATAATTTTAGGCTTTATATTGGAAGATGTAGTCCATTCTGCTTAAAGTAATGACTTTTATGGAACTCAAACCAGAAGTCCATGGGTTGTTTATGGAGAAGGCCTTTCTTGTGATTAGGACCCTTTCTGCTTTTCAGGCATCTGGATTCTCTTTCCTTACCTAGATCTAGGGTTGAGTGTGTCTGTGCTTGGCTCTCAGGATGCTCTAGAGAGATTGAGACCAGCCAGTTCTCTGTGCCCCCAGCCCTTTATGTTAAAGCCAGTGGCTGCATTAACCTAGTGACAAGATTCTGTGGTTTGAAAACTGAGCCTATGCAGTTCCTTGTTAAAGAGAGGATTCTAGATTGGGTCCTCACAATTTATAGGCTACTGAATGCCATAGAAATAGGATAGGGATCTGGGAAACCTGGTTTTAATCAGGCCTGCTGCAGACTTTTTGACCTATACAACAAGAGTTGTATGAGAATAAAGTAAATTAATGGCCATTCAGTTATATTAAAAACGACATCAGATCTGGAACAAAACTCTAATATGGTCATAATTTCTGATATTGGATTTATTACTTCCATTTCTAGAACTTTATCCTAAAAAAAAGTTAGATACATTAGAAGACTACCTCCTATACACATCTACACTCTTCACTTCTGTCCTGACTGAATAATGCAAAATTGGTAGCAGTCAAAATAAGTTACCCTAAGAGACTGGTTGAATATTCATAGGATGACCTATTATACAGCTGTTAAAAATCATATTTTTGAAAGAAGATTTGTGATACAGGAAAATTTATCAGTTATAAGAAGTGCTCAATAAACTCTTATTGAGTATAATCCCAGTAAGTTTTTCTTTTTTTTTTTCTTCTTTCTTTCTTTCTTTCTTTTTGTACTGGGCTTGAATTCATGGGCACTTAGCCACTGAGCCACTGAGCCAGCCCTATTTTGTACTTTATTTAGAGACAGGGTCTCACTGAGTTGTTTAGCACCTCACTGTTGCTGAGGTTAGCCTTGAACTTGAGATCTTTCTATCTCAGCCTCCCCAGCTGCTAGGATTACAGGCATGCGTCACCATGCCTGGCAAATCTTTCTTTTTTGATGCTGGGGATCATCAGTTAAATTTTTAAAAAGATGAGTGTGTATGCACACATGCATTGTGTGTGCATGTGTGTATACCTGTGTATGGGTGTGTGCATGCACCTAGGGCTTAGGCAGGGTCCAAGCTTGCTATTCACAGTTGCCTGGGTGCATCTGGAGAGATAATGGCATTGTGGAGGTACATTCTTTTTGCAGGCATCCTGGGGAGCACATCCAGGATAGGTTGGCAGACTTGACAGCAGCCCCTCAGGGTTCTGGGGGAAGGTGCATGCCCATTATAGGGTGGTGGCCCTTCTGGTTGGCTCCATCAGATGGGCCTGAGGCCTGTGAGTTCAGAAAGCAGTGGCAGTGGTGTACCTGGTTTGGGGCTTGTCTGATGGCAGGAGACAGACCAGGGGGAAAAGTATTCACTTTTCTCAGTTGCAGGGCTCAGGGTCAGAGAGGGAAGTGGTGTCCTGTAGGGGAAGCTTTACAAAGAGCTTGAGGACACCTGGGGCCCCCACAGGCTCTGGGAATGTGGTAGGATTGTGAGCCTGTATGAGCAGGGGGGAGCATGGTGGAAGGTGACCTTTATATGGTCACTGTTCCTGTGGCCCACTATCTTCCCAGACTGGCTAGCCTCCAGGAAGCCGAGGTGTTTGTGCTGATGGAAGGGGCAGATGCATGTTAGAATGTTGCCATGGTTATTGTTGGAGAGGGCACCTTGTAGAAGCTTTTAAATTTCTTCACACTTTTCTTTATTTTTAAAAATTTGAACACATTTTTACAATAAAAGTGGCTGCTTGGGGCTGGGTTCGGTGGTGTTGGCCTGTAATCCCAGTGGCTAGGAAGACTGAGACAGGAGGGTTGCGAGTTCAAAGCCAGCCTCACCAAAAAAATTGAGATGCTAAGCAACTCAGTGAGATTGTGTCTCTAAATAAAATACAAAATAGGGCTGGGGATGTGGCTCAGTGGTTGAGTAACCCTGAGTTCAATCCCCAGTACCAAAAAAAAAAAAAAAAGTGGCTGCTTGGTCATATACCATTTAGAAGCTGGAACAAAGCAGAGCTGCTCCTCAGGACGTGGGGTCATGTCTTAATTAGACACATCATAGGTGACAATGATTGCCAGTTGAAAATACATCCAGTATGCCTACCCCACTCCATACCATGGTCTAGCTGCCTAAAATGTACTCGGAATAGTTGCCTTAGCCTACACCTGGGCAAAACCATCCAACACAAACCCATTTTATGATGAATATCAGAAAACACGAGCACTAAGTGTCTCATGTAACTTTATGGATACTGTACTGTAAGTCAAAACTAGAATGAATGGATATGCATTTGTACCTTAGTGAAATTGAAAAACTCCTAAATCCAGCTATGGTAAGTGGGGGACTTCTGTAGTTGATTTTTTTTTTTCCAATATTTAACCAATGATTTTATTATCATATTGGAAGTGAAAATTAGAGTTTAAAAAACTACAAAACATGATATAAAAATTGACTAAATAAGCTCTATATTACCAGGAAAATATATTTCACTTTGAAGGTCAATATTGAAAGTTGATGCATATATTTTTTTTTTTAATTTTTTATTGTTGGCTGTTCAAAACATTACATAGTTCTTGATATATCATATTTCACAATTTGATTCAAGTGGGTTATGAGCTCCCATTTTTACCCCATATACAGATTGCACAATCACATCAGTTACACATCCATTGATTTACATATTGCCATACTAGTGTCTGTTGTATTCTGCTGCCTTTCCTATCCTCTACTATCCCCCCTCCCCTCCCCTCCCCTCCCCTCCCCTCTTCTCTCTCTGCCCCCTCTACTGACATTCGTTTGTCCCCCTTATATTATTTTTCCCCTTCCCCTCACTTCCTCTTGTATGTACTTTTGTATAACTCTGAGGGTCTCCTTCCATTTCCATGCATTTTCCTGTAGTTGATTTTTGATAGCACTTGTTTGGCTGGGAGCAGATATAAGACAGGTGTGTTATTTATTATTATTATTATTTTTTGTACTGGGGATTGAACTCAGGGGCACCCGACCACTGAGCCACATCCCCTGCCCTACTTTGTATTTTATTTAGAGACAAGGTCTCACTGAGTTGCTTAATGCCTCACTTTTACTGAGGCTGGCTTTGAATTTGCCATCCTCCTGCTTCAGCCTCCCAAGCAGCTGGGATTACAGGCATTTGCCACTGCGCCCGGCAAGTTGTGTTATTTATTCTACAATAATATTCTTAGCTACCAGATGTCCAGGTGGTCATGTAGGACCCCAAGGCCAACTGGACGTTAGAGTCCAGCTTGTATTCACTGTGGCAGCCAGGCAGGAAGGCACACCCTGGTGCTGGCTGCCTAGGATTCTCTGTCCCCATGGAGCAGCACCAGGGAGGGCCACATACCATGGAGATGGGAGCATTTACTCACTGCAGGGACACCTCTTGCCAACAGTATTCTGCCTCCCTGAGTACAGATCGAGGCCTGGGAGAGGAAACAGCCTGGGTCAGAGGAAGAAAACCCTGCAGCCCAGGGCCCACCATGTGGCAACTGGGCTAGGGATGCAGGTGTGTGGGGGCCTGGTGCCAAGGGCAGCTTACTGTGGCATGCCAGGCTGGGTGTGGGAACTGCTCTGCCCCAGAGCCCACCAGCAGCAAGGCTCACAGAATCCAGGGTTGGGCCTGGAGTAGATTCTCTGCATAGATTAGTTTGGCTAAAGCGTTGAACCCCCAGGAAGGAGCACTGCATTGCGGCCCATTCCCTGTAGATGCAGCATCCTGCTCTGCGGCCCAGCGTCCCCAGGTTGCGACTTCTCTGGCTGACTGTGTTTCTCCCGCCAGCCACCCGTGGGACACGGTGATCAAGGCAGCCATGCGGAAGTACCCGAACCCGATGAACCCGTGCGTGGTGAGCGTGGACGTGCTGGAGCGCCGCGTGGATGGCCGTGGGCGGCTGCAGAGCCTGCGCCTGCTCAGCACCGAGTGGGGGCTGCCTGGCCTCGTGCGCGCGGTGAGCGCCCGCCCGGCCACCGCGTCTTGGGGCCACCGCGTCTTGGGGCCACCGCATCTTGGGGCCACCGCGTCCTGGCCGCGGGCCCCTGCGCCCTTCTCTGCCCCACCCTGCGTGCCCCATTGGGCGCAATAGCTTTATCTGCTTCTTCTGCTACGCTGCCTGCCGAGATGCCAAGGTGCACTTGCAGCTCAGGCTGTCGGCTCTCAGTCCTGGAGGCCAGAGCCCCAAGTCAAGGTGTCCGCAGGCGGGCTTCCTCCAGGGCCTCTGCGCCCCCTACCTACACATTGACTGTTTCCTGGGAAGGACACCACTCATCCTGCAATAGCGCACACCCATAGGACCCCATTTTTACCAAATGAGGTCTAGCAACCCGTCCTACTCACAATCTGAGGTCCTGTGGGTTGAGGCTTCAAAATATGGATTTAGAGGGGACACAATTCAGCAGATAATTGGAAGAGTTGCTCTGGAGGTCACTAAATGAGTAAATCTGGCCCCTTGTTGTTACTGGCTCTCTCAGAGACTCTTCCATGAGGGTTTGTACACCACAGCTTGGATCTGACATCCCTCGTGCCTGACCCTCCCACAGAATTCATCCCAGAGGCCTTCTCAGCAGAGGGGCCTTCTGGGCCACTTTGGTCCCCATCTCTCACCCTACTTTTTTGTCAAAGCATTAGTTACTGTCATGCACTCAAGCTCTGAACTCATTTAGTTTTTTCAACATCTGTCTCCTATGGGAATGGAAGTGTCCTGAAGACTAGATTTTGTCTATTGTGTCCATTTTCCAGTCACATCATTGTCCAGTAAATAGGTGAATTAATTAGCAAACGGAATTCTAGCATGTTACTATACTTGTTTCATTTTGTTTTTTAGATTTTGGGGACCAGTAGGACTCTGACATACATCAAAGAGCATTCTGTTGTGGATCCAGTGGAAAAGAAAATGGAACTTTGTTCCAGCAATGTAAGCAATGGCCTAGGAGAGCGGTGCTTAGCCGTGTCCTGGTGATGGTGCGTAGCGCCTTCATTTAATCTTACTTCCAGCTTGGCTCTGGCCTCAGTGAGCACTGAATTTCATAGGAAGTTCAAATTTATTTGAGTTTTTAAATTTGCTTTTTATTCTTTTTTTTTTTTTTAGAATTTTTAATATTTATTTTTTAGTTTTCAGCGGACACAACATCTTTGTTTGTATGTGGTGCTGAGGATCGAACCCAGGCCGCGCACATGCCAGGCGAGCATGCTACCGCTTGAGCCACATCCCCAGCCCTACTTTTTATTCTAATATAATAAAGACAGGTGTGGTGGCATATTCCTGTAATCTCAGCTTCTTGGGAGGCTGAGGCAGGAGGATTGCAAGTTTGAGACCCATATCAGCAACTTAGGGAGTCCTTCAGCAACCTAGTGAGACCCTGTCTCAAAATAAAAAAATAAAGCACTGGAAGTGTGGTTCAGTGGTAAAGTGCACTGGGCTCAATTCTCAGTTAAAAAAAAAAATTAAAAGGCAAAAACAAATACAATAAGCATGTAGAAAAATGCACATTTCCAATTAAGGGAACCAAGTCTGTGAGCTGTTTGTTGCTCCATGGTGTGATTATGGATGACGACAGTGGACTGTATATTTCAGAAAAGCCAGAAGAAAGACTGTGTGCTGTAAACACAAAGGGTAACAACCACTGGAGGAGACACTGTGCCAACCTGACGTAGCCCTCTCACAGTGTGTGCATGTGTTGTATTTGACATGCCAGCCCATGAAGATGCACAGTATTCAGGTGTCACTTAAGAGGGATAAGACAAACAAGGCCCATGTTGATGACTGTCACCACATGAACACACTGGCTGGCAGATGAGGTGACAGGATACAACTAGGCCCCGGAGCCCCTGGGCAACCTGGGCAACAAAGAGAGACCTGGTCTCAAATAACAAACAACAAACACTGTCTTGATTCCTAGAAGCAGATGTGACTTTTAGTGGTTTTTCAGTTATTTTTGTTTTTGTGGTACTGGGCTTGAACCCAGGGGTGCTCTACCACGAAGCTACATCCTCAGTCCTTTTTATTTTTATGAGAAAGGATCTTACTCAGTGGCCCGGGTAGCCTTGACCTTGTGATCTTCCTGCCTCTGCCTCCAGGTCACTGGGAGTACAGATGTGTGTCACCAAGCCTATTTTGTTTTGTGTTTTTGCAGTGCTGGGGATGAACCCAGGGCCTTGTGCATGCCAGGCAAGAACTTTGCCACTGTGCCACACCCTCAGCCCTACTGGTCATGCTGAAAGCCATGTTCTCTCTTCACTCCTCTTTTACTACTTTTAATTAAAATTGTGTAGATGCATGTTGGGGAAAATGCACAGGATAGGAAAATGGCTCATTTTACAAATATCACTTATTCTTAGTAACCACAGAAACGAGCCATTCTGGGAAAAACCCCATCCCAGTACTCCTCTGTGGAGCTTTACTTCTCCATCATCCCCCTTTTCTGGTTTGCCTGCTTTGTCCCTTGGGCCACAGCACTGGTTGGAATCATTCATTGATTGGTTCCACTAACCACATCAGGAGTCTGCTGTCTGCCAGGCATCATGCTAGGGGCAGGGAATGCAAGACAGATACTCCTGCCCTCGCTGGTGTACCACCCCATGTGCAGCATGACCAACCTGTGCAGGTGTGTAAACAGTAAGGGCAAAAGCCCCCGATGGGGCCATGAGGTAACCTTGTAGGGGAGCTAAGGGGTGGCTGGGGTTTGAAGACTGCAGGCGTTTCCCAGAAACTAGCAGGTGTACCCTAGTATCAGAACACAGATGGGCCGGGCAGGCAGAGGCTGGCTAGCTGTGGAGGAATAGGGAAAGTACAGGATTTTAGTGAAATTATTATATGAGCAGAAAATAAGTGTTTATCACTGCTGAAGGGTTATCTTGCTTTTGACAACTTAAACTTTTTTTTTTTTTTTTTAATGGTCTTGCTAGGCACAGTGGTACATTCATGAAATCCTAGCTACTTCAGAGTAGGGAGGATTAAGGATTGCTAGAGGCCAGGCGATGGAGACCAACCTGGGCAACAAAGAGAGACCTGGTCTCAAACAACAAACAAAGGTTTTGTGTTGGAACTAGCTCTTGGAGAAGAGGGTTCTATACTAGGTTGCTGAAGGACTCCCTAAGTTGCCTCTCCTGCATAAAAATTCCAGCACTTCCTGGTCCTGGGTGGGAGCCAACCGGCCACATGTGGCTATTTGAACAAATTAATTGGAATGAATGAAATTAAATCCCATTCTTCAGTCACACTAGCCACATTCTAGGTGTTCATTCACTTCATGTGTCTGCAGCCACCACGTCAGGGAGTACTGTCAGCTCCTGTTCACAGTGCTGTGCTGGAGCACCAGTTCTCCAATAGGCCAAAGCAGAAAACCTAGCTGAATGAGGCACTTGGCTGTTTACAGGAAGTGATGTTGAGGAGACAAGGCCTCCACAGTCTTTATGTGGCTACTGGGGTCTGTCCCATGCAGTCCCAGGAGCCAGGGCCTCAAGACCTGGTTCTGGTGCAAGGGGGAAGAGAGCTTGCTATTGTTCACATGGGCACTGTCCTTTCCTGTACCTGCTGGTGCATCTGATAGCTTGGAAGTACCCTGGATTCCAGAGCACTGGCACAGAAGAGATGCCAGCTGCCCACAGGAAGAGCTGAAATATGGTGTCCCTAGAACGTGATGTGGTTGGGCCTTTGGTGCCTATGTGTTTGCTTTGGCTCTGCTCAGTGTTAATTTTGGGGTGGAAGAATATGGGCAGATGGTTTGGGAAGAAGTACAAGAGAAATAGAACTTAAAGCTATTGTTTTTTTTTTTTCTTTTTGAAGATCACACTCACAAATTTGGTGTCAGTGAATGAGAGGTTGGTGTACACACCTCACCCGGAGAACCCTGGAAAGTGAGCCTTCTCATCCTGGGATTTGCACATAGAATAGCAGAGGTGGGGGAGCTCCCTTTTCCACTTCTTCACCTATTCTCTCCCGCAGGACTGTGCTCACACAGGAAGCTATCATCACCGTGAAGGGGATTAACCTTGGCAGCTATCTGGAAAGTCTCATGGCAAACACGATATCATCCAATGCCAAGAAGGTTTGTACCAGTGTGGGGCTCTGTTTGTGGTCTGAATATTAAGTGCCAAGTGAAGCAGGAGACATTTTTAGTGCTATAAGTCCTCCTAGGTGCTGGGGCTCTCCATCAGTAGCTGAGCTTATAATTCCACAGCATTTCCCACAGTTACATTCAAAACCAGTGGCATTGGAAGGCTGGACAGGGCCTGAAGGGCAAAATGTCTATGGCCAGGGGAGCCATAGGGCTACTCTCCTTAGTAGGGAAAGTAAGGGGCAGACCTGGAGTATAAACCCAGCCAGGGCAGCTACCCCTTCAAGAGAGCCCAAATTCTGGAGGTTCTGCAAAAGCACACAAGCTCACCACATGACACTAGGAAATGGTGTGCTCTGACGCTGTCAGGCAGCATGTTCTGTACAACAGGTACCAGGTGCTGTGCTTGAGTGCCCCAAGCTGTGGTGCCCACTAGCAGGATTTGGGAGTGAGCTCTGTGGAGGTCTCCATCTGTGCCCAGGGGCTGGGGTAGAGGCAGAGATCAACCTGGGAGTCCAGATGTCCTTCCCCTCCATCAGATTGGTGGAATGAGCTTGGAAGTTGGGAAGGGAGAAGTTCCTCAAGTTAAAGGTGGTTCTTGCCAGAGCAGGGCCTTTGCTTTCCACCTTGGCTCACTTCACGGCTCATGTCTTCCCCTGGTCCATTCCTCCCACCCTGGCTTCTCCATTTTCATTTTCTGAATCAGTTGGGCTGTCCTTCCTTTCCTTCTGTTACAGAGCTGGGGCCTTCTGAGAAACTGAGGCAGTATGAAGACCCCCCCCCCCCAAGCCCTGATTCTTGCAATCAAGTCAGAAAGATTTTAGGCATGTCACTTAGAGTGACAGAAATGAGTTTATTGAAGGAATAGGAAAAGGGAAAGGGAACACTCTCAAGGGAGAGAGTGGGTCCTCGGAGAGGAGAGGGGCAACTTGCCTCTCCTGCATTCATTTTATTGGGGATCCCAGAGAAGTTTCCAATGTTCCACCCAGGTCCACCTCTTGACCTTTGAATGACAGCAGGGTAACATCAGACTTCCACGTATTCACTGCCATGGCAACTCTAGGTCACCTTGGCCCGTGCTGATTGGTTCTAACTGGATCCTTAACCATACATTCTTATAGATTTTATTGTTAGGAGGAATTATCCTTATATCCTGGAGTTTCAGGATCTGGTTATTACCAATAATAATGTCTGGGTGCCTCTGATGAACATTATTTTGGGCTTGGATTTCTTCTGCAGATAATAAGTAGTTTGCTGAGGAGTGTGACATAGTCTGTCCTCTTAGACCAGCGAGGATGCATGTAAATTGCTTCTTGGAAAAGAAAGCATCTGGGGGTCAGCGCAGTGGGCCCATTTTATAGAATTGTTCTCTTGACCTCATGTTCCCTCCATCCTCACCTGTCTGTCCCCTGACATTTCCATGCTTAAGTCACCAATTGGTGAAACCACATTTGGCCTGCATTTTAACTAGTTGCAAATAGAAGAGCCTGCCTACCCTATTATTATTTTTTAAAAGAAAAATTAGATCTGAGGCAGGCTCTGCTGTACCCACCTGTAGTCCCAGGAACTCAGGAGGCTGAGGCAGGAGGATGTCAAGTTGGAGGCCACCTGGGCAGCTTTGTAAGACCCTGTCTAAAAAAATGAGAGGGGCTGGGGCTGTAGCTCAGTATAAGAGACCCTGGGTTCAGTCACCAATACCACCCCCATCAAAAAAAGAAAAGTCCAGATTTGAGAATTGTAGGCAGTTACTTTGCTCTACTCAGGGGAGGTGGGGCAGGAAACGTGTGGAGTTCTCATGGAGGATATGCCCCTCAACTTCATGTCCTCAGGTGCTTGGCTTCAGAAGTCGACTGGAACAAAATATTCCAGGAGGGTGGGGACAGGGGCTGCCCAGTGATGTAAAGCCCCCTCAGAGCTTCGTGGAGAGCAAGCAGGGTGAAGGCAGAGGAGCCACATTGGCTTTCTTTTACTTCACTTCCTAAGAGGTGGTGTGTGAAAGGCTTAAGGAGTCACTGCCTGTACCTAGGAGGAAAAGAGTCATCTTCTCTGCTGGAACTGCCTTTTGCCACCAAGAAGGCAGATGGGCTAGTCTTTCCATATGCCTAGGAACAGCTGGTAGCCTTGTGTAGATGGGGTGGGGGTGGGGTGCAGGTGGGCCTGTGGCCGGGGCCCCCCTGGCCTCTAGGCAGCAGGCTCAGGGTTGGGACTTGGGACATCAGGGTTGCATTTGCAAACCTCTGGGGGAATGAGGACCTTCTGTGTTATACTAAGGGGGTGCCAAGGCTGGGAAAGCTGGAGCGAGGGTGTCAATTTACTAAGATGGTAGAGAAAACATTCCGGCTGATTCTGAGCTTGAGGGCGATGCTGGACAGGTCGCTGCTGTGTCTTCACCACAGTGTCGCCCCTCTCCTGCTGCCTGCGCAGGCCCGCAGCGGAACTCACAGTGGACCTTGTTCTGTGTTGCTGCAGGGGTGGGCTGCTATTGAGTGGATAATCGAACATTCTGAAAGCGCTGTGAGCTAACAGGCGTGGACCTGCACTTCGGGATACACGGTGGTCACGGCAGTGCTCGTGATCCTGGTACAGATGTTTGGCGTTTCATTAACCGCGTGCATGGGGCGTGTGCAAGAGGATGCTCAGGAGCCCGCTGCGCTCCCCTCCGGGCCTGTGCTTCTCAGTGTCTGCCCCCAGGTCGAACCCTCCAACCCCACTGCTTTGCACTTGCTTGCTTCATGCAGGATGTGTTTTCCGGGGACACTTGAGCTGCTGTCCTCTGGTGCCTGCAGGTTCCTCCTGCAGTGCGCAGCTAGTGAAGACCCCTCCTTGGGTAGGTCAAGATGGGCTTAAAGGCTCTTCTGAGGCGAAGAGATTTCATTTGGGGTAAAATTTGTTCTCTTTTTTTTTGGAGCTGGGGATGGATCCCAGGGTCTCACACTTCTACCCCTGAGTTCCATCCCCACCCCATACATAGTCTGTCACCTGCCAGAGCCAGTGTTTAGCCCCTGCCTGCTTCTCTTCAGTGGCAGAACTATCCCTGGCATGTCTGAGAGTGTCACAAGCATTGCTTGATTTGTGCCTGTGAAATTGATACTGGGTGCCCAGCACCCTTGGCCACGTCTCACTTGGGAAAGGAGACCAGAGCCCTGCCTCCCTTTGTCCAGGGACTCCTCATGCTCCTGGTCCCCGTCAGGCTGCTGGGCTGTGCTGCTCTGGGCCCAGCTCCCCATTGTTTGTCCATCTGTCTGTCCCCAGCCTGCCTGCTCTCGTTTGGCCGTCCTTCAGCCAATAAGCTGCCTGGTCCTGGTGTCTTTAAGAACTTGTTGCTGATTTTGCCTCAGTCACTGAAGCTGCAGTTTGCCAGTGACCTTGACCTTGAATCCAAGGCTGAGAGCTGCCACAGTCTTTCCTCTTCCCTGGTGGCACTGAGCTGAGCACTCTCAGGGAGGTTACCAGGCTGGTGTTGCAGTGTGTGTGTGTGTGTGTGTGTGTATGTGAGAGAGAGAGAGAGAGAGAGAGAGCGAGCATTGATGTGAGTCATGGCTCCTCAGGTTCTGTTTCCTCCAAAGCCAGAGCTAACCTGCCTCCATCTTCAACCAGATTCCTGACCCAAAAACTCCAAGAAGACAGGAAGGAAGAGAACGAAGATGGAGAAAGGCGAGCTAGACGTGGCTCCGGCCTGTCTGGAGGGGAACCTGCTGGCACGGAAGCCCTGGTGACCTTGGAGCAGCCCTCAGCGTGCAGGCTGCAGTCATGGGCATGCGGAGGCTGCAGGAGTGCGAGAACCCCAGGCCAGTCCACACCATGTCGCCACTGTGCCCTGGGCCTGTTCTGGGCCTTTGCTGCCTTTCCCTGGCACGGCCCCCAGCGCTTTTACTGGGACCTTGCTGCGAGAGCTCCTTCTTATGTCCCCACTGAGCCCTGTCCCTCTGCAGAGCTGACACTGTCCCTGCCCTCCACCTGCATGTGCCCTCCATGCTTCACAGAAACAGTCTCTGATCCGGAAGCTTCCTTCTGCCCCAGGTCCCCTCTGCACCCCTTGGCAGGGAGCTCTGCTCAGATGTCACTTCACACTGATGGGAGCTGAGCCCTGGGAGCCACTGGACTTGCTGTGGGGTCCTGTGGGCTGGTGGGTTTGTGGTCAATTACCAAATGTCTTTTCTCTGGAGTGGTCTGACTTCTGACGAGACTCCCCAGCTCCTGGGGAGGGGAGGAACACAGTGGCCTCCCACTTCCTACAGGCTGGGCAGCAATTCCTCGATCCTGGCACTGCCCTCTTGGGACACCTGGGGTGTGGGACCTGCTGGGCTCTCACTGGTGGCTTTGGGCCCTGCCTGGGCTGGACTGTCCCTGTCTACACCACCAGCCCCAGCTCTGCTCTCCCGCTATAACTGATGGCCTCAGGGTGCCAACACCTCCAAGTTTTTGAAGTTTGTTTTCCTGGTTTTCTCCTCATAGTTTCATGGACATTTCAGGGATCAGGGCAAAAGGCTTTTTCTCAATGTTTTGAAATCAAAGTTTAGAACAATACTAGTTAAAAAAAAAAAGTCAAAGCAGCCCATATTTAATTGGTTAGAAGAAAAGCACAGGACTGTGTTGAACAGAGTCCTCAGCTCTCCCTCTGCAGGTGAACTCCCCCACCCTGTTCTCACAGACCCTTCCAGAAATTCTCCGTGCCTGTGAAAGTTCACATGTGGGGTTTGATCTTTCCCTTCTTTCATTAAACTTAGATAGGATCGTGCTGAGTGTACTGTTTTGTGACTGTCTTTTTTTCCTACTTTTTTTTTTGTGTGTGTTGTTAGGGGGGTTGAACTCGGGGCACTCGACTACAGAGCCATATCCCCAGCCCTATTTTGTATTTTATTTAGAGGTTTCACTGAGTTGTTCAGTGCCTTGCTTTTTGCTGAGGCTGGCTTTGAGCTCCCAGTCCTCCTATTTTGGCCTCCTGAGCTGTCGGGATTACAGGTGTGCGCCACTATGCCTGGCTTTTTTTCTCCTTTTTTTTAAACATATTTATTTATTTATTTATTTTTTTAGTTATTGGCAGACACAACATCTTTGTTGGTATGTGGTGCTGAGGATTGAACCCGGGCCGCACACATGCCAGACGAGCGTGCTACCACTTGAGCCACATCCCCAGCCCCCTTTTTTTCTCCTTTTTAAACATCATCTTGAAGGTCCTTTGGAGGATTCCCCCTGGAGGATTCGCTGCATGCACCCAGCCCTAATCCCTGGGGCCCCGAAGGCCACATTCACTGGCTCTGCTGTGCCCAGTCCACTGGTGGGTGAGGAGGGACAATCTCTGGGTCACTGTACCCCACTCTTTCCAGTGCAGCCTCTTGTTGCCAGGTTTCAGGATGACTCTGTCACTTCACAGGGTCATTGTCTAAGTGTGTCACCTTGGGAGTTGTGTTCTGGAGGGAAGCATGTGAGGCTGTGATTTGGAAAGCATGTGCTGAAGGCTGGATAGTGTCAGGGCAGCTTCTCTGATCTGTGCAGTGGTGAGGCCGCAGAGGTCCCGGGTGTTTTTGGAGTAAGATGGCATTTTTAGTGTGAGGGCTGTTGTAAATGTCAGTCAATTGATTCTGCCCAACTTCTGGCAGCTTGAGGGAGGTGAAAACAAGCCCCTGCATGCACCGAATTCTCAGTCTTCCATGCTTTCAGTTTTTGTTGTTTTTTTCCCCCCAAATTTCAGTTTGGTTTACTAGAGTGTCAAGTAGGTTTACAAGTACTGCACTCATCATTCAGCTCACAGAAGGCCAACATTAAGGGAGATATTTTTCTCCAAAAGAGATAAGCTTTCAGAATCTTTAATATGTTAAAATTACACAGGCAAAGATAAAACCTCATGTCCCATTCCATACCCCTTCCTGCTTCCTGCTGTTGTACAGCTTGCTGCAAATGGGAATTTTAGTTGTTTGAATAATGGTTTAAAAGTCATCCCTTGCTCATTAAATTAATTTTGAGTAAAACTGGATGAGACTTTTCTTTATGCTTTCTTCCTTACCCCAAACAAATAGAAAACACAGTGCTCATACTACAAGATCAAATGCAACCATAAACCTTGGAGGTGAAATTCAAGTACAAATTCCCTCCCTTGGGAATGTGGACACCAGACCAAGGAGATCAATCTGGAGGACCCCAGTGGAGCCCGTGTGGGCACTATGTAGCAGATTGGAGCACACCTGTAGAGAGGGTATTTTTAATTTTTATAACTTTTTTTTTTTTTTGGTACTGGGGATTGACCCCAGGGGCACTTTATGATTGTGTTACAACTCCAGTCCTTTTATTTATTTATTTATTTATTTTGTTTTGAGACAGGGGCTGGCTAAGTTGCTGAGGCTGACCTCAGACTTGTGAACCTCCTGCCTCAGCCTCCACATTGCTGAGATTATAGGTGTGCACCACCACAACCTGGCTTACTTTTTGTAACTTAGTCACTAATAAGCGGCACCTGTCAGCTGTAGAACCTTCTAGTGAAGTTACGGGTGCTCATGGGGATGGATGAGCTTTGGAGCCTCTACTTCTCAGGTCCAACCATGCTGTGTCCAGCGGTCCCAGGACTGCCCAGCAGGGCAGGCTGGCACTCTGTGGCCCCGGGTGACTTCAGTACCACCTGTGAGCCCAGAATGGCCCAGGTGTTTTTTAAAGCTGGTTAATGAAAACCCTCAGCAGGAGGGTGAGGAGACCTGGGAGGCCCACGCGGCCCTTTGTGGAAAACACTGCCTGCACCTCCCCAGGACCCCACGAGACCCTGGTCGACATTGATTGAGCCAAACTTTCCTCCTTCCGCCAGAACCTCGCTCTCGCCTTCGGGATCACACAGCCTGCGTGACTTGGGACCTCCTTCTCGGCTTCTCCAAATGGCTTGGGTGGGTCTCTCCCCGTGTCACTGCTCCCGTGCTGGGTGTTCCTCCCCAGGCCTCGCCCCAGGGGCTTCTCTGGCCCGTGCAGGGGCAGGGAGGGCTGGCCTGCGTGACCTGGGAATGTGGTCACAAGAGACACTGCGCCCTGCTCCCTCTGTCACTCAGGGCCTGCAGGGGCCTCAGGGTACCTGCCTGTGAGCAGCCACCTCGGAGGCAGATCCACTAGCCCAGAGCAGCCTTGGGATGACAGGAGCCTCCGCAGACTTGGCTGGGAGCCTGAGGGGGATCCCTGCTACCACTGATCCTGAATTTGTGACCCAGGGGGAATTGTGAGATAGTAAATGCTTGTTGTTCAAGCTGGAGTTTGCAGGCAACAGTAATAGATAACTCAGATGTCACCTCATATTTCCATCGTCTCTTTCACACTTTCCCTCTTGCTGTCAAATCCTTCCCAATGAGTCCTGGGCTAATTGGCTGTCAAGCTGGGAGGTTTTTTGTTCCATTTTGAAAATGTCAAAACCAAGGCTGAGGCTCTGGCACAGATGGCCCAGGTGGTGCCACATGGCCTAGAAGTCTGGGCTCTCTCCCCTCTTTGAACCGCCTTAAAATCTCCTGTCCTGGAGCTGGCCTTGCCTGAGCGCAGCTCATGGTCCAGGGCAGTCAACCCTGGAGATTTACATGGCCTCCCCCGAGACCTCCTTTTCACCTGTTCTCATGTATATTTGATTGGTTTGTACTGAGATTTCTTCCAGAGCGAGATCAGGTGTTCTGCTTGCGTGCACAGTCTGGGTATTCGCTAAGACTCTTGGGGACTGATGGCCAGTCACTGTTAAGAGGAGCAGCTGGAAATGCAACAGGGTGAGGCAGCTTCTGGAGACCCATGGTCTCTTTCTAACCACTGGCAACCTCACTGTTCCCCCTTCTTCATCTGTAAAGAGGAGGCTAGTGTCTGAGTGCTAAAGGAGATGCTGTGGACTGGGGGCATAGCTCACTGGTGGAACAGAATGTTACCTTGTTACTAGTTGGGTTGGGGGTTGCACCGAGGGCCTTGTGCATGGTGGTATGTGCTCTACCACTGAGCTATACCCACAACTCAGCAATTCTCAAAAATTGGTGAGGCATGGTGGTGCATGCCTACCTAGAGTCCAGCTACTGGGGAGGCTGAGGCAGGAGGATCGCTGGAACCCAGGAGATCAAGGCCAACCTGGGCAACACAGCAAGACCCCTGCCACAAAAGCAAATGTTGAAAAAACCTATCTTAACCATAACAAACTAAGCGGGGGATATCTTCATATCCTAAAGCTTACTTTCTTATTGGTAAATAATATAACAAATTTGGAATAGTTCGGTTAAGTTGGAATAAAATTGTTAATGAAACTTTTATGATTCCTACTAAGAGTTAACCACACTGTAAGAGTCAGGCAGTGAAGAGTATGGGCCCAGTAAACCTGGCGCATTTATGCAGCCGCCTCCTGACAGGCACTGAGCCCTGTGCATCTGCACATCTCTTTGTTAATGGAAGGAGACAGGGGTGCAGGCCCCCACCCAGGGCTCCCAAGCTGGAACAGCCTCTGGGAGAGTGAGCCAGGGAAGCTAGGTGGTGAGTCAGGGTCCTGAGAGAAAACTCCGTGTTTCTGAGTAGTGCTTGAGCTGCTTCTGGCTCTTCCCTTAGCCAGCTCAGGGCTGCAGTGACTCGGTGTAGAACTGTCCCTGACCGCTGTACCCCCTGGGCCGGGGGCTGTCAGCACACTGCCAGGTGCTCTGACATCCTGATGGACCCATCTTTGTGTTTCTCACTTATTCCCATCTTGAACGTGCTGTTAACTCACTCTGCACTTACTGAGCACCTGCTTCATGCCAGCCATTTCTTTCAGAAACTGGGATACATAGAACAGGGAAGAAATGTGGCTGAGATTCTTGTTTTCATGGAACAATGAAGTGGGATATGGGGTGCTAAGAGCCGAGGGGGAAACACACAGGCCCACGTACAGCGGGGAGAGAATGTCACGAGCAAGTCAAGGATGGGAGCAAAGTAAGTGAGGGTGGAACTTGCAAGTGTTTGACCTCTTGGAAGATGGCACTGTGCAGGGAAGAAGGTGCACCTTGTCCATTCAGCACTGAGAGCGCCCATCAGCAGAGGCTGAGGACCATTCTTGTGGGGAATATCTTCATATCCTAAAGCTTACTTTCCTATTGGTAAACAAATTTGGAATAGTGCAGTTATGTTGGCCCAACTGGAATAAAATCGTTAATGAAACTTTTATGATTCCTACTAAGAGTGCAGGAAGGAGGCCACATCAGCTCTGAACATCAGCTGTGGAGAGGCATCAGGCAGGGCTGGAGGGTGCAGCACTGAGGGCCAGCCACCTCACTGGGGACGTCATTGACTCCAGCCAGCAGGACAGGGAACATTGGCAGCTATGCCGATTTGCCTGGATGTTTGTTTCCAAAAATGGTGTTTGTGTTGCCATGTACAACAAGTAAGTGAAAATAGCCTGCTCATGTCGTGGCCCCCGCCACCACCTGCTTCTCTTTATATCTCCAACAGGAAGTAGGCAGCACAGCATGGGTCACAGAGACTGAGCCTCTGCTTCTGCCTCAAGCTGCAGATAAACCAAGCCCAGTTTGCACTTTTTCCTGCTTCCAGGTTGCTGGGAGCCATTAGCCAAGTAAGTATGACAATTTCCTTGCCAGCGTACCCCATGTTGCAGTGACATTGAATGTACTTAACCTTGCTCAAGGACCAAGGCAGATTAGGGTGTTCCCGGTTTTAAGATAATCTTGTTTAGGGCGTTCCCAGTTTAGGTTCCAGGTTTAAGGTTTAAGATTATTCCTGCTGGGAATAGGGCGTATCCTGTTGCCTGAGTTCCCCTTGAGTTCTCACGGGATTCAGACAGTATATTTTGGAGATAGAAGCCCAGTGGAGGTGAATTTGGGCAGAGAACGTGGATTTGGGAAGAGAACGTGGATTTCCCCAGAACGTGATTGTAGACGGCTGGTGTGAGTTCGGGAATAAAGAGTTGCTGTTTGAATCTACAAGCTGTGTGGTGGCTCGTGATTGTGTGCCCAGCCAGACTGCGGCATTTGTGCCCAGCCAGACTGCGGCACCAGGTAATGTTCACAACCAGCTTGTCTTCAGACAGAGAGGTACTACTTAAAGCCAGGCACTGTGGCACATGCCTCTGATCCCAGTGACCCGAGAGGCTGAGGCAGAGAGGATCACGAGTTTGAGGCCAGCCAGACTTTATCTAACTTTATATAAAAAAGAAAGGGCTAGAGGTGTATCTCTGTGATAGAGCTCTTGCTGGGCATTTCATGGGGCCCTGTATTCAATCTCCAACACTGTGCAAAAAAAAAAAAAAAAGAAAGACAGACTGCTTAGAATCAGCCATGCTGCACTTGGTGGTTGTGAAGGCTGGCGGGGGCTCCACAGACTCCTCTCCACTTCTAATCATAGCAGGTCAGGTTTTAACTGCAGTTGCTGTTTGGTGCGTGCATGGTCCTGGTAGTTTAACACAGTAGCTCCAGTATCTCTTTGGGTGAAAAGTGACATAGTGACTGTCTAGGCTAACATTCTTTGTTTTATAAATTGAAGAAACAAGCTGGGCACAGTGGTGCACACCTGTAATCCCAGCACCTCCAGAGGCTGAGACAGGAGGATCGCTAGTTCAAAGCCAGCCTCAGCAAAAGTGAGGCACTAAGCAACTCAGTGAGACCCTGTCTCTAAATAAAATACAAAATAGGGCTGGGATTGTGGCTCAGTGGTTCAGTGTCCCTGGTTCCCATAAATAAAAAAGTAGATAAATAGGTAGATAGATAAATAAATAGAAGAAACATATCCATAAGTGTTCAGGAGCCTTCGTGAGCTGAGCAGGAGCAGTTTCCTTAGTACCATTTCTGATCTGTGAGAACCGGGTGCTCATGAAGACTCTCCTTTGCTAGCTAGGCTTTTCTTTTTTTCCCTTCAGTATCAGGATGGAAGCTCTTGGGTCCTGCAAGGGCCTTTTTGCTAGAGATGCCACCTGGGAGTGGAGAGGGCTCCACCGCCTACAAGGAAGCTTCAGCCACTGCTGGACCTGGGGGACCCCTTGGACCAGATAACCCCTGGCACTTGTCCACCA